GTAACCGTTCAACTTTGGACATAGGTGTTTTGGGTTATATCGGCATACTTTAACATAAGGAACACCCTCCCGAAGTTTGGCACATTCCTCCTGGGACACCCTGTATATATGAAGGGCGTTCCATATATAATGCCTCCAATTTTTTTGTGTTAATATGTAACGTCTGAGCTGGATGTTGGTGGTGTTGTAGTAAAGGTTGAACCTTCCTGCCAATGTACTGTTAGTTTGATTGTTGTGCGACATAGCAACAGCAGAGCAGTCTACCAGAATGGCGTCTGACATAGAAATGCATACAAAACAGAGATGTGTTATTGAATTTCTCACCGCCGAACAAATTGCACCCATTGACATCCATCAGTGCTTGCTAAAGGTTTACGGAGATGATACAGTGTATGTCAGCACAGTGAGGCAGTGGGTAGTGTGTTTCAATAGTGGCGAAAGTGAAGTGCACAACAGGCCATGCCCTGGGCATCCCTGCTCAGCTGCCACTCCTCACACTGAACAGTGCCTCATTTGTACAGAATGGCAGATGACGACCAGGGAACTCTGTGCACGGCTTAATATCGGCTGTGATGCATTGGAAACAATGTTGGGGAAGCTGGATTATCGCAAATTTGTTTCAGGTGGGTCCTGCGAATGCTTCACAGGACCACAAAACTCAACAAATGGAAGTCTGTTAGAACCTGTTGCACCAGTTTGAGGCTGAAGGTGACAAATTTCTGGACAGCATTGTCACCAAAGATGAGACCTGGTGTCACCACTATGAGCCGGCATCCAAAAGACAGTCCACAGAGTGGCAACATCTGCATTCCCCACGAAAAAAGAAGTTCAAGACAGCCGTCAGCAGGGAAAGTGATGTGCACGGTCTTTTGGGATAGGCGGGGTGTGATTTTGTTGGATTTCCTGGAGCCTGGTGAGACTGTCAATTCTGAACGCTACAAGACAACACTGACTAAGCTGAAAGCCCGCATTTCCCGAGTCAGGCCAGAGAAGCAGACAATCTTTTGCTTGCCACACGATAATGCTAGACCCCATACCAGTTTGGCGACCACCGCACACATTGCAAAGTTTGGCTGGACTGTCCTACCACATCTACCTTATAGCCCTGATTTAGCACCTTCAGACCTCCATCTCTTTGGGCCTATGAAAGATGTACTACGTGGGCAACATTTTCCAGACAACGATGCTATCATTGCAGCTGTAAGAAAGTGGCTAGCCTCTGCTGGCGCAGACTTTTACGCGCGCAGCATACAGGCTCTTGTTCAATGCTGCAAAAGTGCATAATGAAAGGTGGTGATTATGTGGAAAAATAACTGTAAGTAGCTGAAATTTTGCTCTATTTAACTGCGTTATTATGCTTTCTGTATCTGTTGTAGTTTTCATTAAAAGAAAATAGGAGTCATTATATACAGAACGCTCCTCGTATACATGCACTTATGCAAATAAACTTTGCATCCTGCCTTGTGATGTTAAACAGTATTATTTTTTCAGCTTTTCACTCTTTATTTTTGTGTGTGTTTTATAGATAGAAGAAATGCTGACACCACCAGAGCAGGCACTGCTTGAAAAAGTTCGCACAATGATCAACAAGTTGAGTGAAGCAGAGCTCCAGTTAGATGAGACTATGTTCATTCTACAACTTTATTTAAGTTACCAGGTCTGATTACTGTGCTGTATAGTTTTATGTGTGACTAGCAAGCCAAGTAAAGGACTGAAGTGTTTTTATGTTGCCACTTCAATTTCTCCCATGAATGATAACTGAATTAGTAAGGAGATGAAATTTGTGTAAAGTAATATATGTACGACTGTCTGCATAGAGCTCAGCCCTTCTTGAGAACCCACCAGTTGTGCAGCTACTCAAGAGTTTCCTAACAGTTTATGGAACTGGAAGATTCATTACCGTTTTCACAAGAGCCCTCCACTGGTCCCTGTTCTGAGTCTAATCAATCCAGTCCGTACCAGTCCATCATATCTAAGTTCAATTTTAATATTACGGCCTTCCTAGTGATCTTTTTCCTTCTATCTTTCCCACCAATATCCTATATGCATTATCCAGCTCCCCAATCATGCTACATTCCCTGCCCATCTTATCATCCTTGATTATTTACTAATATATGTTCTTTCATTAAATTTGTATTGAGGTCAAAATTATGTATTTTTGAACTATGAGTAAAATGGGAATACCTAAAATAAGTAAAAACATAATTTCAGCTTTAAATAACAGGAAGCATAACTAAAGTAGTACGTGGTGCGTTCAAGTTCTAAGGTCTCCGATTTGTTTCTCACACAATAATCATACAAAAAATTTGAAACTTCTGTCACTTTTCAACGTAATCTCCCTGCAGCCATACACATTTTTCACAACGTCGACGCCATGATTCCATGGCCACTGCGAACGCTTCTGTAGGAGTCTCTTTTGACCACTGATGCAATAGCGGCATGACTGGTGAATGTGCGAGTGTCTTTCATCGTTGGGAAAAGCCAAAAATCGCTAGAAGCCAGGTCAGGTGAGTAGGGAGCATGAGAAACCACTTCAAGGTTGTTTTCACGAAGAAACTGCTGTGTCGCATATGCTCGATGCACTGGTGCATTGTCCTGGTGAATGAGCACACGTGCCGCCTTTTCCGGCCGTTTTTCTCGCAGTGCTGGAAGGAGCTTGTTCTTCAAAACATCTTGGTAGGATGCACCTGTCACCATAGTGCCCTTTGGAATGCAGTGAGTAAGGATTATGCCATCGCTGTCCCAAAACATGGCCACCATCATTTTTTCACCACTGGTGCTTACCCAAAATTTTGTTGGTGGTGGTGAGTCTGTGTGCTTTCATTGAGCTGACTGTCACTTTGTTTCAGGATTGAAAAACGGCATCCATGTCTCATCCATTGTTACAATTGATGAAAAGAAAGTCCCATTCATTCTTTCATCATGTGTCAACATCGCCTGGCAAATTGCCATGCGCGCAGCCTTGTGGTCGTCCACCAGCATTAGTGGCACCCACCTGGAGGACACTTTCTGCATTCGCAGGTCTTCATGCAAGATTGTGTGCACAGATCCCACAGAAATGCCAACTTTGGAGGCAATGTTTTCCACACTCAATCGACGATCCTCCAGAACAACTTTCTCAACTCACTCGACCATGTTGTCAGACCAGCTGGTGCGAGGCCGAGTCTGTTTTGGTTCGTTGTCACACAATGTTCTGCCTTCTTTGAACTGTCACCCACAAACGCACATTTTTCACATTCATGACACCATCACCACATGTCTCACTCAACTGGCGATGAATTTCAGTGGGTGTCACACGCAAGTGGAGAAAATGAATGATTACTTGCTGTTCTTGTAATGAAAACATCGCCATTTTAGGTATCAAAAACACTCCTCACTCTTGCCACCACCACTAGAGTTCTGTGTGCCATACAGTGCTGCCATCTCTATCACGCATTCACAAAGAGTGCACATGTATTTTAAACTAAACCGCATGTGTCTATCTGCTCCCAGTCCTGAGAAAAAAATCTGAGAACTTGAACGCCCCTCGTATATACCCTGCTCTGTTTTCATTATCTTTTATTCAGATGCCAGGTCTTCTCAAAGAGCAGAATCACCCTACTTGTAATCTCCAAAGGCCAATTGACATGAACTTTTTGGTACAGAATGCAGAGATTCAGTACAACTAATATCGGAGCCCATTATTCTACATTATCCTCAGGCATTTCAGTTCATATGGTAGTGTGGATTAGGACACTGTGTAGTCTGATAGGTGAGTACAACATGATAGAGGCATGTACTGCCTTTGTAATCAGAGCGAGAGTGACTTCCATGCAGAAGACCACAATGTGAATTCATGTCATCATGCAGACCCCAGATTTTATGAATTTTATCTCAGTTTGCATTCATATTTTTGTAAGGTCCAATTTAAAAATTACCTCTTTCCAGTCCTCAGAATGGCCACTATTGAAAGCCACTACCAACCAACATGACTGAGGACATAGTCTCTGTGTAGTAGTTATCTGTGAAGTGTAGTCAGATGCTGTAATAATGTCCAATAAATCCAGTTATCAATCCAAAACCGTTTGTCATCACTCAACATGTGACCATGTATATTTGTTGTTCTTTGTTTCTCGCAGGTGACCAGTCCAGATAGTTGCAAGTTCCTCAACTTGACAACATTAGCAAAACTAGATGAGTTGCATAATTTAAAAGCTCTCCATTGTGTAATATTCTCCATTCCCTACAATTCAAACATTTTTCTTACCCATCCCATGTTGATAAATATTTGTTTTATATGAAAATTTGTGTGTTACCTTATGGTATCGTTAGTCTGTGTATTAGATGCTGGCCTTACATGCCTAAGGTTAAAGACCTATTTAGGTCCAATGCAATTTTTATCCTTGTTGATAATCAACCCACACACGTGTGACTTGTAGCTGTGCCACTGTGAGGAATACCAAATGCCTATCATGTTTCATGATTAACAGGTCCTCTCCAGCATACTGTCATTTTTCTGAAGTGGTAACTGCTAACTCATGGGCAGCATCTTGCATTAAGTAATAAAGATGATACTGCTGCTACCAGAATCTTAACTATGTAAGTAAATATGATGTAATAAGGTGCACATAGTTTGACTGTATTAGATGCTGGTGGCAGGGTGGGCTGATGGCCAAGATTCTCCATGTCCAAAACAAACTCTAGCACTGCTGAGGGGATAGGGCAGTCTGCATAAGGTTTCAGTGCTATGAATAAATAAACCTTTTGATGATATTTTAGAGAAAAGTGAAAAATAAAATAATATTTTTATTCAGTTAAAGCATTACATTTTTCTTTATGTGATGGTCATATTTTTTTAAAGACATTTGGGACATGCTTTGAATAGAAGAAGGGAAGGATTGGAAGAGGGTAGGTAGCAGAATATTTACACTCTTAACAGTGATGCACATTTCTTTAAAATTAAGAATAATTATACACTGGTTGGCATATCAGTAATGCTGTAGACTTGTGTTCAGGTGGTGCTTGGTTTGAATCTTGTCTGGGTTACCAAATCTCATGATAGGGTTATCTTGGTTTTCTCAGTTCTTCCAGGCAATGTAAGACCTTTGTTACATCATGACCACTACTTCCTTTCAAATTCATTATTCATCAGTCACCCTACTGTTTCACCGACAACAATGGACAATTAAACACTCTCTGTTACAGGCCTTTTCAGAACAGATGTCTCCCTCAAGGTCCAATTTTTGTTACAAGAGTACAAAATTTATTTGAAAATGAAATCTGGAACATATCTTAAATTCTTAACCAATAATCCTGAAAGGGTCATATTCATATCTTTATTTGTTGCAGAAGTCTGTATTTGGTGATAGCCTCCGGATATAGTATAAGTAATGTTTTATCATATATAGGTCACCAGTACTATAATACTTAACTACTTACACCAATTGTGTACACATCATAACATATGGTGAGTCTTCCTCTAAAGCATCTCAAAGATTTGAGCTTTATACAATATTTTAAGTGATTTTATTACATTGGAACAGCACATTTTCATGTAGAACACAATAAATAAATAAAATATTTTATCAAAATTACCTGTAATTTTCTTTACTTTTGTAAAATGAATATGTTTTTTTGTTATTTTTGAAGTTTTACTTTTTGTCAAAAATATTCATTTTCCCCACCTGCCTTTGCAGATCTTATGAGTACTAGTGCTTTAAATCACTGTTCATAGCTAGACTGTGTTACAGAGTTTTCTTGAGGAAATGGTAAAGAAATTCTTTACTTTTGTGGAACCAGAAGGTTTACTGTGTTATCATAAACCTCTGCTCTGAGCTGGTTGAATCAAGTCACCACCTTTTATTCAGTTCTAAAAATTTCTCTTGCCTTGAAATTTCTGTTTACATTAACAAGGAACTGAAAGCTATTTGTTCCACGCTGAACTCTGTTGGAAAAACTTCTGATATTTTGAGCAAATCATGAGCTTAGATTGCTCAGTCAGTACACTGACTATGTCATGGAAAATTCATTTGATTTGTGGAAGGAGGGGAGATTCTGCCCTTCATGATTACAAATAAATTAGCTCGGGAATCAGCTAGTCTAGCAAGTCTTGCGTCTCGTTCTTGGGGACAGTGTGAAGTAGACCATGCATCTCCTGGTGCTGAGTTCATAAATGGGTAGACCTCTTTCTCCAGTCCGCAATTTTTTTATGGTACTTAATTGTGCTCTTTACATACAAGCATTTTTTCCCCAATCATGCTCGGGTATGAGTTGTTACATACGCCACTTTAAATGTCTTTACCCATACAAGTGATTTGTAGAAAGGTATTTTTATTTCAACAATATCCAATCAGCCTGTTTTTTATTTTTCTTGCATATATAGAGATTAATTTCTTTTTGGCATGTTCCTGGAATACCACTAAATAAAAACTATCTTAATTTGTTGATAATGAAGCATAAACTAGACCAAAATAATTGTGACCGCCATGGAAATATATGATAATTTTGATGTCCGCATTTCGTAAAACTTGTCGCACATAGCTTTTTATAAAGGACATGATACCACGTAGCTCCGAATGATTCGGGCTGAATTTTATTTATCCCGCTAAATATGCATTGACATAGTCTCACTTATTCGCCTACGATGATTTTCCGGTCATGTGATCTTCAACGCCATATTGGATAGGGGCCACGAGGTTTAGTGAAGAAAAATAAGATTTACCGGATTTTTGTGAAAAGTTAAGCATGCCCTCGAGTAATCCTTTACCACCGAAAGAAAATGCACTTTTTAAACGGATACTGGTAAGTCTTGTTATTTTATATGTACAAAAGTAATCCATACCCAGACGTCAGCCAATGAAGGCCTTTGGGCTGGCCCAAACGATTACTATGAACTTTTTTAATACTATTTACATAGCCTTTGAACCCTAAATAATTTAATGTAGAATGTAATTTACATGTAATCTTAGCAGCATTGTAATATAAAAGTATTGTATGTAGAGACGTAATACGGATCAGGGTTATATAAATTTATACTAATGCCAAGTTAATGAGTAATCATTTGACCTAACCTAACTTTCTTTTTATGTCCATTTGAGATTAGATAAATGTAAAACATGTGGACAGTTTTTTCTGCTTTTAGAACGTTTCAATTTGTCTCGCCATCTATCACAATTTTGACACGTGCTTTAAGTAAATACCTGGCTATTTGACTTATTAACTTCAATTTTAAGTTTATTTGCTATCTGTATACCTAATGCATATTTAATTGTCAGTATGATGTAATAAATTGCACCTTGTGTATTTCAGAAATGCTATGAACAAAAGCAATACAAAAATGGGCTAAAATTTGCAAAACAAATTCTCTCCAATCCAAAATATGCAGAGCATGGAGGTGAGTAAGCTCTTAAAGGACCTAACATGGATTATAGTCAGGTGTATTGATTATTAAGCTCAGTTGATTGAAGTGTTTATTTTGTTGAAAAATGAGGTTTCTCCATATTTATTGCAATTTTATTATGTATTCTGTATGGAGCAACAATTCTGAACTATGCCAGCATAAGTAAGACTTCTGATGAATATGATTGAATTTAAATGTGAAGTATGTCTTTAGTCGTGATATGCATTCAAGATATTCACAGTAACATGCACAATTGTACCCCCTTGCTCACAGTATGTCTTGTGGTGTACATTGTAGTACATTATTCATTTCTCATACTGTAACAGTTATCTTACTCAGTTGTCCCTTGCATGGGAGCAGTGCCTCAGTATATGTTTGGCCTTGACATACTCATATGTGGTTCACAGCTTGCTCTCAGTGAGTGGTTTGGTATAGTGTTAGTGCTCTAGGCTTGTAGTTTGCAGGTGCTTGGTTCATATAGCCAGGATGTCAGGTAACCTGACTGAGGTTATTTGTGGTTTCCATCAGCCCTCTAGACAAACGCTGGGATGTTACCCCAGTTAGGCCACAACCAGTTTGTGTGAAGTCCTTCCCACTTCATTTGTCATCCTACCTTTTGGTGATATTTTGACTCACAGCGTTGTAAAATAACTGACAAAAGATATACATGTATTTTGTAATCTGTTCATACCTTTCTGTTACTAGCAAATTTTTCATATTCTCTTCATTGTTGTTTGTATAAAACACCATTTATCTCTGTTCACTGTGAGTAGTAATGACATTTTTTATTAAGTTTGTGTGTATGGAGTACATGGTGTGACAATATTAAAGGTTATAGGTGGGGAGGAGATAGAATTCCTTAGTGCATGCAGTGTGGGATGCTATTCAACTGTTGCTTTTATGAGAACTGGGGTGGTTACACATTTGTCAGTTGTTGAAAAACAATTCTGCAGGTGTAATCATTTGTAGGGGTACTGCTACCTCTGTGACACTCATCATACTCATAATTTTAAAATTTGTCATACTACACTATAGTTATCGAACAAAATGTGTTGGATGCTACTAAAATGACATACTAATGAACTGTTTTCATTTATCAAATATTTTATGCAGAGACACTTGCGATGAAGGGTTTGACCCTGAACTGTATGGGCCGTAAAGATGAAGCGTACGAACATGTAAGACGTGGATTACGCAATGACCTCAAGTCACATGTCTGTTGGCATGTGTATGGTTTACTTCAACGTTCCGATAAGAAGTATGATGAAGCCATCAAGTGCTATCGCAATGCACTAAAATGGGAAAAAGACAATATTCAAATATTAAGGGATTTATCCCTTTTACAGATCCAGATGCGAGATTTGGAAGGGTATAGGGTAAGGAAATGTTGCTGTTATATTTATTATGAAGGATATAAGTTTTTCATTGCATTTAATATTAAATTGCACCAATCCAGATTCCAGTTAGTTACTTTGGTATGTGGTGACAAGAATCGTTTGTGTTGTTATTGCTTGTGTTGGTCTTGTAAATTAATTGAAATAAAACCTGAATTGAGAGGAATGTATGTGTGGCTACCAGCAAGATTTGTGAAGGCCAGTACATGTGTGTTTGCCATTGAGGATCATATACGCATTGGCTAATGTGAGGTATAAATCCATTCAGTCAGTAAAATATCAGCCATTTGAAGTGAGTATGTTGCAGCCTTGTTTTTGTGTTTATGTTAATTATCTGCTGCTACAATTAAACTCTCTGAGGCTCTGCACTTAACAATTTAATATATGTCATAAATGGGGAAACTTTCCAATGAATTTTCAAGGGCATTTACGCTAATATTGTAACATTGACTTATCAATTCAGGATACCAGGTATCAGCTTTTTATGCTACGTCCAACACAGCGTGCATCATGGATTGGCTTTGGAATGGCATATCACCTTCTCCAAGATTATGATACCGCATTGAGGATATTGGAAGAATTTCGCAAGACTCAGTTGGTAAGCATCAGATGTGATGTTCCAGTAAAAAAAAAGTAAAGGCATCCTGTAACAGGCCGTGGAGACCTATAAGGTTGTGAGATGTTGAGGTTCACACATTTTCTAGACAGTTGGCTCATAGATGGCGGCAAGGTTGTGAGTCCTATGTGCTGGCTGCCCTTTAACCCCAGGAAAATTCCTGGTACTCATTTCTTTGAGTCAATCCCAGGGCCATAGTGTGGCTGGAAGGATTAGTTCAATTGAAAAAAATCCAGTGGCCTCATCGGGACTTGAACCGCCAACCTTCCGGCTTGTAGCATAGTGCCTCAACGAACTAGACCACTGCATTCCCCCATTCCTTCAGTATGCATTAGTAATAAAGATAAGTTATCTGGAAGTGTAGGCTTATTTCTTGTCTGATTTATCTGATGAAGGAGAGAAAGCTGGTTGCAAAAATGTAATAAAGCTCTGGAATGGTGGACAAAGNAGAGTTGTGGCTTAAGATTGCATTTTGTTACATGATTTAGGACATTGAAGTCTTGATTAGCTTTTGTGCTTTTCAGAAGAGCTCTTTCGACTATGAGCATAGTGAGCTTCTACTGTACCAGAATATGGTTATACAGGAATCAGGAGCATTGAAGGAAGCTCTGGATCATTTAACTCGATACAGTGATCAGATCTGTGATAAGCTTTCCATCAAGGAAACCTTAGGTAAGTTCTGTGCCAGATGTTCAGCATTGTAAGTTTATGAAGGTGGAATGTTCTGTGATGCTGTTAGTACAGTAACTCCTGAATAATTTGAGCAGATTATCTGAAGGCTTTGTTTAGAAAATTGGCTGGTTTGCAACTTTTTGTAGTGAATGTACCACTTCTGTCATACCGCTGTTTGAAGTTTGCCTTTGCTTCTTTGTCTCAGTGCTAAATTAGTTTTTGATTGTTTTGCTTTCAATGATGTTGAGATTGTTATGCATTTTAGATGCAAGACACACGGTACAGAATTAATTAAAGTAAAAGTTTGTGTTATGTTTTTCAGTTTCACTTCTTATGTGTTGTGAACTTTCTGATTTTTTTAGTTTTCTTGATTGCAGGCAAACTGAACTTGAAGCTAAAGAGATATAAGGAAGCAGAGCTCTATTATAAGGATTTACTTATGAGGAATCCAGAGAACACTATGTATTACGTCAAATTACAAGAAGCCCAGCAGTTGTCGACAGCAAATGAAAAACTAAATATGTTTTCTGAATTCCAAGAATTGTTTCCCCGAGCACTTGCACCAAGGCGACTTCCACTTACTTTTGCTTCAGGTGAGTTTGTGACACCAAGTTGGACAGTTATTAATGTATAGAATTCTGCGTGTAAGCTTCCCCAACCAGATTTAATTACTGAACATGGGCATTCTATAAGTTCTTCCCAGAATTTCTTCTTTTCTTTGCTTTGTGTCATTGAAGACATAATTCAGTAAATTGTTCTTTCTAATACAGTATACCCGAAATTATTTGTTGCAGTGAAAGGGTGAGGACTCATAAATATTAAAAAAATATGGATGATCCAAGTTGTGAGTGTGATCAGGGGACTGAGGTGGTTGTTGAATGTAGAAATTTGGAAATGTATGCATGGTATGTTATATATTCCGTTATTGTTTATCTCAAATATTGTCACTTGTTCAGAAGATATGTATTGAGCATAAAATGTGTGTTTCATTGTTCTCTACATCTTCTGTTTGAAACATATTTTGCTTTGATAACTGTTTAGCAACTTATGCCAAGGATATGTGCAAAAACATACATAGGTCTTCTTATAAAGTGTTTGTTAAAATTGTCGAATTTGAGTGAGTGGCTTGAATGTTTTTCATAAAACTCTGCAGTAGTAAATTGCATGGAAATCCATCCAGCTGTTCTTGAATTGTTTCATGACTACAGACAGATGACTGTGTGTAATGAACACACTGTCTGCCCCACGGGGTTGCAGAGTTGCCTAAAAGGGCACATGAATAAGCTGCAAACTGCATAATATTCATATGGATAACCAGAAGTGTGCAGTATTATTCTTTAGCCTTGTGGTATACTCGATAAAGCCCCAAACACAGTACTTGATGAACTGGTGACCTAAGCTCTCCAGAATTTTCCTCTTTCCAGACCGCTATGAGGGTATTTCTCTTTTAAAGAAATTATTAGGCAAGTCTTATAAAGAGAATCATTTAGGCATGCTTGTTATTTGTGTGTGCAGGGGAAGAGTTTAGAATACTGGTCGACAAATATCTAAGACAAGGTCTGCACAAAGGTGTACCACCACTGTTTGTGGACCTTAGGTCCCTGTATAAGGACCCAGAGAAAGTGGTTGTTATACAAAGGCTCGTCCTGCAGTATGTTGATGCACTTCAGAAGGTTGGCAGATTCAGTGAAGAAGGTAACTGTAGTATTTGTTATAGTTATTAATATACTTTTTATTATTGTTGTAGCATTGGTCGTATTCCTAACAGATCAATGGACAAAGAGCTCATGGTCTTTTGTCTCCAGACAAGGTGTCCATTTTGATTTCTTGCCATTTTCTCTCCGCCTTTATGAAACATCTTATATTGAACATTCTGAAGGTCTCTTTCCCTTAAATTTTAATTGTAATGTTTTCCTTGCTATCCTTTTTCTAGCCTTCTGTTTTTACATGGCAAAACTGTTGTAAATTGTCTTCTTCCACCTTTAACAAATCTCAATTCCAGCATCTTCTACACATGAAAAAAATCATTTTTAATTGTATCCTTCATTATTTTACCCTCATTATTTCTTAGAAAGTGTGTAACCACCCTTTTGCTTATGTTCCTCTCTGTAAGTGTCATTATTTTGTCTTCATACATTTTAGTGTTGTTTTAAGATATACTTTATAGAATTTTGTTTTGCATTGCTTTGGTATCTCACAGTTCCATAATGTTCCTTTTATATTTTTGTAACAGTACTGTTTCTGGTTAGTGAATACAAACTCAGTCTTTCATTCGATATATCTGCATTTCAGAATATTTTCAAGATAATAAATTTATTCAGAAGTGTGCAGAAATCTGACTCCTTTTCTGTGGAATGTCACTGTCTACTGCATTTGAGCACAGAAAGTGTGTTTACTTATTTTACTTATTGTACTTCTGAATGTAGGTCACACTCCTATTTTATATTAGAAGATTTGGCACTCTTAATTTGTTGCAAGCATTTGCTGTTATGTTTTCATTAAGTTAATAAGCCATGCACATATATTTCTCAGGGGCACACGGTAGTGTAGTTGGTTGAGGCACTGTGCTACAAGCCAGAAGGTCGCAAGTTCAAGTCCCGATAAGGTCATTGGATTTTTTTCAATTGATCTAATCCTTCCAGCCGCACTATGGCCCTGGGGTCGACTACGGAAATGAGTACAAGGAATCTTCCGTGGGGGTTAAAGGACGGCCAGCATGCAAGGCTGGCAACCTTACTGTCATCTTTGAGCCGATGGTCTAAATAATATGGGACCCTCAACATCTCAAACCCTATGGGCCTTTACAGCCTTTTACAGGGATACTTTTACTTTTTTTTTTTAACATATATTTCTCGGTAGAGAACACACCACAGTTCTCAGTTCTGTCAGAGGAATGTAATAGACTCGAGAGATTCCAAAACAATGCAAATCAATAGTCTGTAAAGTGTATTTTAACCAATACGTTTAATGCTGGTACATGAACAGTTACATCGATGCTGTAAAGCTTAGATACGGACAACTGCATTAAATTAGTCAAATTAGTCAAAATTAGTCAAAAACATAATCTGAGCCAAGAATTTGAGAAGTATTGTGAGGAGATACCAAGAAGGAACAGAAACAGAAATAAACTTTTTTAGATAAATTATATATTTCAGAATTTGTTGTTGTAGTTAGAATAGAAATGGTTGAAATAGTTCGGCCAAGTAAACAGAAAGGGAAGGACATGGGAATTACAATTTAAAGGAAATGAACCTATGATGTGACCAAGAATGAGATGGGTCAGCTAGAAAATAGTGACAAGAAACCAGAAAGGAAGGATTATGGGAAGGTCAGATAGAATGGATACCTCACATGTATTGATCCAGAGTATAAAACAGGATTGATGATGGAAGATGAACATGCCTGTTAACTCCAATAACATGAATATTATTGTTTTGTTTCTGTGATACTTTACAGAGGACCAGTGACTAAGAAGCAAGGTTCTTGCTCCTGTTTGTTTACTTTTTTGCCATGGTTTAAAACTAGGTGTCTGTGTCAAAGTTCCTTTACAGAAACACAGGCTTTGCTGTCTTATCATCAACATGTTTTCACTGCAGTTTCAGCTCTTAAAATATAATAAGCATCCATTAAGAATTCAGAGTTGTGATGGATGGTTCACTTCATTTGCCTGTTACTTTGAAATTCAGAATACTTCATGAATGCATGAATTTCACTGTACAAATGTGAATCACAAATAAGCTAGGTTGTGTTTATTCAGTACACTGCATGTGTACCATGAATCTTGCTGATATTTATATGGTTAAAACGTTTTTCTTAAAAATATGTGCCATTATTCTGTGCTGAGTTCTCTCGTGTTCACTGTATCATGTTCTGTTGGCAGATTCAGAAAACTCACCCAAGGAACCTGCATCTGCTCTACTGTGGGCTTATTATTATTTAGCTCAACATTACGATTTCCTAGGCAATACAGAAAAGGCCTTGTCATACATTGATGCAGCACTTGATCATACTCCCACATTGATTGAGCTGTTTGTAACAAAGGGTAGGATATATAAGGTAAGACGCAAGCTTATCTTAGTTAAGATTCACTCAGTGATATCGTTTCTCCATTAAAATAGTCCTTTTTTATGTGATGAGATGGAATAGGGACCACTCAGCCTCGTGAGGATAATTGAGTACCAGCTAGTTCAAGGAAATAGCAGATTCGGTCTAGAAAACTGAGATTAAAGGTCACGGGAATTTGTTTGCATTGACCATGCAACACCCTCTGTCCACTAAAGTTGGCACTAAGTTTGCCAACAAAGCACAATAGATCACTGTAGGTCGCGGTGAAAGGGCCAAGAAGGCCCACCCCTTATACATTCATTCATTCAACTTCACCAGCAAGCGGTGCCACTCAGTCAGTATGTGGGGGATTTTCTTTTCATTTCAGGACCATGTTTTGCTGTCGTGACTAAAAAAGTTGTTCTTAGTCCTGTTTGATGTAGTGAGTAAATGTTTGAGGTTCCCAATGTTGGTTGTAATGACATTTTTCTTTTCTCCTGAAATGTTAATGTATATTTTTCAGTATTTATTCTGTAGGGACTTATTACCACAGTTGCTGGAAATAGAATGTTCTTAATGTGAATGAGTTTTTCTGTATGTACATTTAGAGTAAAAATAAGTTTTTAAGTAACAAAAAAACTATTTTTTATCATTTGTTGATATTATAAGGTGTGTGAAGGATGTTGAAATGACACCCATTTTAAGACTTTTTCTCAGCAACGGAGTAAAGGCCAGTCCCCATGGATGTTAGGACAGGCATTTCATTAATGCACCAGCTGATGAATCCTTTCTGCAAAGAACTCCTTGGGCTGCATCTCTAAGTTACAAGTGATCATTTTTGATCACATCAGCCATATTTGCTAGAAGTGATGTGAATGAGTCCTCATATTAAGAAGTGTATCAAAACCAAAGAACATAATATGTTGTCTTGTAAAAAGTATTGTCACATATTGGGGGTAGCATGACTGATAATTGTGGGTAATATATTTCATTGATTGGATTTATTAGATGTCTCTATTACAGTTACGCCTGATTACAACAGTTCACACAATTAACTTCTTGATAATGAATCTCTCACTCTTGTCTGGATCTTGCAGTGGTGTCTAGCCTCTAGTCTTCTACTTGAATGATATCTGTCTTTCAAAAACACGCTAATTTGCTTATGGACTGACGACTTCTCAACTGGCCTCCTTTTACCCCTGCTAGACAGCTGGGATAGGAATCACCTTGAAAAGTTCTTTTTCCGTCCGTGTTGTCACATGAATGTTTTTACAGTCCCTCCCTAGACAACGGTGTATTCACTGCTCTTTGTTGTAGTGGAAACATGAGTACCGAGCCGTTGTCTAGCAATGGACGTCTTTTCTGACTCCACCATTCCAGCTTTGAGGCACCATGTCACAGTATGTTAAGTTTGCCTCTTTGTTTCTTACTTTAACAGCTAATTTAACAAAAACGGAAAGTTCAACCAGATGAATAAATGTGTTCTGATGTAGATTCAGATTGTCTCCCAGAAAATAATTAAATTCTTATATGACGTGTGTTAACCACACGTTATTGCTACGCATTTATTTATTTATTTATTTATTTTTTTTGCAGCATGGTGGTGATGTAATGGAAGCATATAAATGGTTGGATGAAGCCCAAGGTCTTGATACTGCAGATCGATATATCAATTCTAAATGTGCGAAATATATGCTTCGGGCCAACTTGATCAAAGAAGCAGAAGAAATGTGTTCAAAGTTTACCAGGGTATGTTAACTTTGACTGAAGCACTGTAGGATACTTTGAAATGTTAGAACTATTTTTAGTGTTTTTAATTTTATTCCTTGATGTGGTGCTTTATCCAGAAGGTAACATTATAACATAAAATGTGTTAAGAATGGTTCTTTTGTGAAACTTAATATCAGATGTAACCAGAATTTTAGCTGAAAGAGTATGAATGTTTCACTTCTTCTTTGTAGTTTAACTGTTGGAGTGTATGATGTTGTATTATTAGGTAGTTGTGTTATGTTTAGTGTCTAGCATGTATTATATCAAACCTTTAATTTAATTGGGGCATATAGTAATTTACCCTTTTCTCTCATTAAATTTTGGCATGGAAGCTGCAGAAGGTTTGATATTCTTATCCTATATAACAAGGATATTGAATATTGTTTTCATTTTATAGGAAGGAGTTTCAGCAATGGAAAATTTGAATGAAATGCAATGTATGTGGTTCCAAACAGAATGTGCCTTGGCATATGAGAGGCTAGAAAAATGGGGGGATGCGTTAAAGAAATGCCATGAAGTAGACAGAGTAAGTAACAGTTTATTGCAATAACATTTGCTCAAAATGTGTTATGCATAACATAAATTTTAATCCATGATATGTATGCCGTCTCCGTCTTGTAGTGCACTCAATTTCACCTGTTATTTCACGACATGTNCAGTGCACTACAAGACGGACATGGCATACATATTATGGACGAAAATCAGTGCAACAGGACGCTAAAATACAACATTATAAATTTTAAATATGAGTTACCTCAGTGAGTGTGAGTTTGACAGATGAGCTGGATGCTCCTGTCAAAGCATGCAGACCCCATATAAAAAAATTCATAGTTCTGCTGTACAGAAAATTCATTCTGACAATATCCTGCTTAAAAATCAACAAAAGCTTTTGTTATCAGTGTCAGACACTTACGCTTGTCATAGTTAATAAATATGTTAACGCGAATGTCAGAAAATATTACTGTAAGTGCACTGTTAAAAGAATGTTAAAATGTATAAACAGTATTTCTGAATGTTAGTGAATGTGTGATATTATCGATTTTTCAGCATTTTTCTGAAATTATTGAAGATCAGTTTGACTTCCACACGTACTGCATGCGCAAAATGACGCTGCGATCATATGTGGGATTGCTGAGGTTAGAGGATGTTTTACGTGCTCACCCGTTCTACTTCAAGGCTGCCCGTTGTGCAATTGAGGTCTACCTCAGGCTCCATGACAAGCCACTTAAAGATGAGACTGCAGAACAGGAATTCAATACAGGTAGGGCAACAGTTACATTATTCCACTTGCATGCCTTCATGAAACATGAATACAGCGTTGGGATCGACAGAATTTGAATAAGCTACATATCAGTTTTTGGCTTTTTAGCTGAATTCCTATAAAATGTAGTTATTGCAATGTTCAACTTTACTGCCTCACCTAGATATTATGTTTCGTTGTGTTAGGAGACTTGGAATATAGACTTTAAAACTCCCACTACTATTCGTTTGATGAATCAAGAAACCGAACATTTTAATAACACGTGATTTATGCATATAACAGTCTCAGGAGCTATATATGCACTATAGTCAGTTTCTATTGTTCACGAATGGTTTATGTGTTGTACAGTAAACATTTTAAGCGATAGTGGCTTCTAAAGTAATGCTGGAATGAATTTGGAAGTTTGCTTAGCTCATTTGATCTGTGTTTCATGTTGCAGGATTGTTTTTAAAGTTAGATGCTGTCAGTTACCACTAGATGTATGTATGTGTGCATAAGTACTTGTTTCTTAGATTAACCCTGTTGCATGCTGCAAGCCGCTTAGATCTGCTTGGCATATATGCAGTAGAACTGCTGGAGCTGAAGAGATTGGCTGAATCTTGATTACTTAGTACAGCATTTCTGTCAATAGATGGCATGTAGTGGTGTATACTTATGTTCATAGGAAAGAACAGGTTCTTAATAATATCAGTGTCTGTGGTAAAAATGTGGTTATCTGTGTGCAACTGCATTTATCCTGAAGCAGCCTTAGCATTTCTATTGAGTAGTTCAGTGGCAGGGGTTGGCATACAGGGGGTTGAAGACTGATTTGTTTTCAACTGTAAATTAATTTGTAACATTATTATGTGGGAAGCTTCATGATGCAATTACTTAACTGTGAGGGAAGTTATTCCGACAGGTTTTTTCCATGCCTTTCTGTAGTTTGTGTAAGCAGCACTTGTTACACAATGTATTTTGAAACAGATGTACTTCATCCAAACCTTTTACTTTTAATTATCAGTGTCAGGGCTTCAAAAAATACTGTCACCTGTTAACCTGAGAACTCGATTTTGTGTTAGTGGGCAGTGCTATGAGTAACTTACAAGACTATCAGATTACAGAATCCGGAAATGTTCTCTATTTTAAATGTTAATATTTTAGTTTATAAAATTTGGAAATCTCAGTTTCTTCAGATTTCATTACAGAAAATTCCAGTTCCTTCATTTGTTGTTGTCCCTTGTATTAATTACATTTTGGTACTTTCAAATAGCTGAATTAAATTTTATTTTAGAAAAAATTATTGCTAAAAATGACTATCACAGCTTTCTTTTAAGTTGACAGTTTAATCACTGGGAAATATAATTCTCTAAAAATCTTTTCAGTTTCTGATTTTATAAGTCATTGTTATGGACTAGTACTGCCAGTTGAAACAGTTGGAAAGGGTGTGACATGTATTTTCTAAATGATTTAGTTTGGTTAAATAGGTTTCGGCACTTCTTATATATACTTATATCACAAGCTATCATACATCATTATTCTGTTGATAATATTCTGTAATATCTGAGCCATTGAACTGTTAAAAGTCATACATTATACATGCCCGCATTTGTCTTTCTCATATCATGCCAAAACACTTGCCAAAGAATGGCACCAAATGGTGGCATCTAGTTGCTTTCACTATTCTGTTGATATTTAGCCAATGTGTTCAGGAATAGAAAGTGGAATGATTTTTTTCCTCCTTTGTTAGGTGACAGGATAAGTATGTATACTATAATGAAATTTCTGAAGCAGGTTAAGAAAAGACTGACTCTTTTTCTTCTGATTACATTTGGCATGACCACTTAACATTATGCAGCTCTTCTACAAATTAGAAGCACAAATGATTTCACCATAATTCATTGGGTGAAGTCTGTTAATACAACCAAGAAATAGAAATGTCAGTTCTTCTGTAGGAGTAGCAATCAATCATAGCAAACAGAGTGCATGGGAGTATGGCACCGACATTTTTATATCTGTATACAAGATACTGTCATGAAGTAATTTTCTGCTTAATTATGCCATTCTAGTAGATATTTTTGTTGACATGTGAATTAAAAAAATGTTGTCTTCATAAACCTTTTTCCAGTTTATTAGATAGAAATACGTTAATGGATACAGTGCCCGCCGCTATGGTCTAGTGGTCATAGTTCCTGCCTACAGATCTAGAGGATCTGGGTACGATTCCCATCGCTACCAGATTTTCTGAGAAGTAGCGTGTCTGGAATGGGGTCCACTCAGTCTCTTGAGGATAATTGAGGAGCTGTTTCAAGGAAATAGCAGCTCCGGTCTAGAAAACTGAGATTATCAGCTGTGGGGATCCGTTATGGTGTACACGTGACACCCTCTGTCTACAAAAGTTCACACAAACTTGGCCGACAAGCAGTGGTCACTGAGTCAGTATAGTTTGCTTGCGGACTACAGGCCACAGAGTTTTTTAACAGATAGAATATTCTCAATTTAACAAATTTCTCACCATAATTTATAAAAATTTAGTTTTTTATGTACATTCATGGGTAGGTGTGATTTGTTAATGATTACTACTTGTTATGATTATTATTTGAGATATGCAGGCCATGATTTATTATGGCCTCATATTTTATCATACCACCATTGTTCCTAATTTGAATTATGGTGTAAAGATGGACTTTTCATGGTGGTGCACAGAAAACATCATTGTATGTAGATGTTCTGTGAGCTGTGGAAGTCTGGGAACCAGTGCTCTAAAAAAACAGATTTTTATTGAAAGGTGATGTACCTGAAACAGTTCATGAGTTATATGTGGTAACTGTTTTACGAAGATTCGCTGCTAGAGATTCATTAGGCTTCTCAGGAACTGCAAAGTGTATCACTGCTAGCAAGCTTAAATCATGCATTGAACTAAATGAACAGGCAGTACCATTAAGCATGGAATTGGAGCTATTTTATATTTTAATGTCATGAATACAATAATTGTCCTTAATAAATAAGCCTCTGAACATTTACATACATACAAATGGCATAATTCCCTTGAATTGGTATTTCCCTTTTTGAACAGTTCATAATAATTCATGTAATGGCACTTGTATTTCATTAATTGCCATTGGTACACACTGACAAAGCTGCACTGTGAATCCGGTGAACCTGGTTACAAAATGTAGCTTTTATCATTCATGTTTACCTGTAAAAGCGGTGGTAAATGTATTCATCTGCTGTCAAATCCTGTGTGATAAGGGCAGAAACAATTGCTTAGTTTTCTGCAAATGAATTTCACAAGGAATTGAGCAAATACATGATGATAGTTCATTCATTTAATCTAATAATACATTCACACACATTATCACTCTTATCACAATTCTTTTCACCAGTTTTTAAATGTATCTGGTATATTTTCTGTAACACAACTTACAGTTGAATGAGTACAGCACATTTTTTGTGCTTGTCTTGCGACATGAGTTAACCGTATATAGCCTGGATAGTAAGTCTGTAGACTATTGTACTTGTTGATAAGTTGCCTTGCTGAGAAAGTTGAAGGTTGTTTTCAGAATATTTGATTCATGAACTGTACTGACTTTGGAATGCGATACCATTTAATCTGGTAGGTGTTTATTAAGAGTTTCAATGGAATATGCTGTATCAGTCTTCATAGTAGAAGAATAACTCTTTAAATCTTTACCCTGAAGAAGACAGCATGTTTTTTTCAGAATGCTGTAGAACATCTAACAGATAACAATGACAGTAACCATCACTGCCAGTACTGGGAGAACCTCAGATCTTCCATAGTTGGATCATGATTCAGTCTTTACTTATTGAAAGCTCATGAAGTTTGTGATTACAAATTACTTTTCAGACTTCCTCCTCTGTTATACAAACATTACAAACTCTCTTGTAAGTCTGCAAGAGCTGCATGAGTTTAACACACCATAGTTCCCAATATGGGAGCATTCATGGCATCTGTATTTTGGAACTCTATAAAGAAAGTTCCTTTACAGTTGAATTAAAAATTTAACTAGAATGTGTTATCAGTACTTCCCTCATCTTTGCTCTTTTCTCTTTTTCCTCCTGTATGTCACTAATTGAGGAGGAGCTTGGTTTGGTGGGGAGTACAGGTATCCGTTGGCTTGCTGCTGAGGTTGTTCTGCACCAACAACTTGTGGCGTGATGAAGTAAAAATGACCACCATCACCTGGAAATTTGTAAGATACAAGGGCTCCACCAGGTTGTAAGTTACTGAGCTGTCTGGTATCTATAAATTCACTTAATGGATTCACAGGTGGTGAAGGTTTCTTGTAATTTATATTTATATCATCTGCTAATGATACTGGAACTTTGCTGACCTGATCACTTTCAGGAGGATTTTCACTCTTTTGAATATTGTAGTTGGGAATCGGAGTTGTGTAATATTGTCTTTCTCCATTTGCTACATAAGGCCGCTTTGATTGAGATTGAACATTTCCTTTCGTATAGGCTGGAATGGGCGTTGTTGGCACATTTTCATCACCAGATGGTAGCTTTTGGCCAAATATGGTGAAATATTTCTTAGTTATATCATCTAGAAGTGTTTCATCTTGCCGGGTAAAATACGCATGGAAAGGATTTGCAGTTGGATATATATTAACCTGAGGAACTTGAGGACGTTGACGTCCACGAAATCTTGGTTGAGGTGTTGATTGATATTCATATCTTTGCTTGCTTTGTTCGCTAACATCTTCATAGCCATAATGTGCTGTCGGACTACCTGCTGGGACATCTTTCTGAACATTATACTGGGGAGCAGGGTAGAAGTGTTGAATGTCTGGTGCTTTTGTACTCTGCTCATAATTGTATTCAAATAGTGTCCTTGGGGTTGATTGGTACTGTACTGGTGATACAATTGCCCCTTGGCTGTCTCCTTGATAATTCGGCCTCTGAGGTTTTCTAGATTTTGTACGAATGGTTGTATAAATATTTTGTTGTCTGGGTTGAGTTTCTACGTTATTGCCATTTGTGTCGTAACTGTATTGGTATGTGGGTCTTGGGGAAGGAGATGGTTGAATATTGTATATGATGGGTCTCTGAGAGGAAGTATCATGGTATGCAAAATTGGTCCTTGGTGTAGTGTAGTATACTAATTTAGGCACTAGGGGTATAGGCTGTGGAGTAGACTTTATGAGCTCTTGTTGGGGAGGTTGAGTTGGAAACTTCTGATTTACTGTGGACGGAGCAGCAGAGCCCACAGCTTCATACTGTATACCAGGACTTACAGTAACATAATAATATTGAGGTGGTGCAGGTGTTGAACTTTGTGCGAACTTGCCTGTCCCACTAGAGAAGATGACCTGTTGATCCACAGGCAAAGCTGATGACACGACGTATGACTGAGGTCGAGTTCTGACCCCTTTAGCTTGACTAGCAGGAGCTATACTAGAGTATATGTATTGCTCAGCTTGTGTTGAACCTTTCACAGGTGCAGCTATGGAATACACTTGCGAATGTACTGTTTGAGGAGGGCTTTTACCTGGTGTTTCTGCTGGAAGTGCGTCAGAATACACATACTGTTGGGGCTGTTCTGTTTGACTTATGCCTTCCACTGATTGCCCTACAGGAAGCACATTGGAATATACATATTGTTGGAGCTGCACCTTTGGAGAAGTGCTCTTCCCACCAATAGGAGGGACATTATAACTATAAAAGGGTTGTGGAGTGGTAGAAACCTCTTCATTGTAGTACCTCACAGGCTCTTCATATTTTGAAGGTGGTGCCTGGGTAGTGACAGGTGAGGGGGGATCACTCACATACCTTGACCCTTCATTGGGCTCCTCATAAAAGTAGTAGGATGTCTTCACAGATGCTGGATTCCTTTGTTTACTGACAGAAGGCACTGTGTGATAAGAAAGTGGTGGCAGCACTGTAACTCTGGCCCCACTCTTTGTTTTCAAGTTATATGGCTGTGGTGAAGGCGTCACAGTGTTGGTTTCAGTATCCAGAGGCTGTTGTTGACTGTTGTAGTAGATAAGATGAGGTGCCACTGTTGTCGTAGGTATATTGATTCCTTGCCCTTGGTTTGTAGGCGACTCCTCTGTTATGGGCCCAGGCTGGTAATACGTCTTAGGAGGTTGTACAGGTGTGTTCTGGTTAGAAGCATTTTTGGTGTGCTGCAGCCGCGGAGTGGGTCGCACGACGATGTCTGTTAGAGGTACGGTGTAGTAAGACACGTCAGGCACGGCGGTTGTCAGTATGACGTTATGGATATTGCTGTAGACATTTTCCGGTGCTTGTGTGAAGGGGATGGCAGGCTTTTCGTAATAATAACCTTGCTGCGGAATTTGTTCAATAGGCGATTTTCCTTTATGTGTTACATGGACGATTTGGGGAGCAATGCTAATTGGTGGACGAGGGGGCTTCTCAGAATACTGGTCCAGTTTTTGTATCTCGGGAGCAGGAGTTGTGAGAACATAAGTTTCAGCGTCAGGTGTGATGTGATTGAGAGCCTCGTTGTCCACAATACTGGCTGTCGGGAAGGGTTTCTTCTTGCGGATTTCAGTAGTGATGGGTGTATAGCCGAGTGACGGACGTCGATTTTTAGCAGGTAGAGGCCGGCTCAGCGCTGGCAAATACCTGCCGTAAGGTGGTGCAGGTGTGTCAGCCACAGGGGGTGTAGTTGTTGGAGGTGGTGATGTCGGGTGATGTTCACTGTGTTCTTCCGAGTTGTTGTTTAGCGGTGCGAAGAAATTGGGTGGAGGAGGGAGGATGATCCCTGGTACAAGTGGACCCGGAGGCACTTCCGTTGAATTGTCTCTTGGATAGTAGAAGTCGTAGGGCGGCGGATAATATAGCGAGGGGTCGTCTTCGTCGAAGGGCACAGTCAGGTTTCCTGGTGGCGGTAGAAATGCTGCTCCCGGCGGTAGATTTAAGAATGGCGGGGGAAATGGGAGGGTAGCGTTGGGTGGAAGCGGTGGTGGGAGAGGATAAGGGGGGTAGTAGGTGGCGTTGAAAGGGAGAGGGGGAAACCCGGGGAACGGCGGAGGATAGAATGGCTCGCTCCCCGGCGTGAAGTTTCCCGGAGGCGGGCCGAAGTATGACCCGTTCCCTGGCGGAGGAAGTGGATACGGGAACTGAGGTAGAGAGAACGATCCGTTTCCCGGAGGTGGGTAGAACCCTCCCCCGGGACTGAAGTTTCCCGGGGGTATTGGGGGGTAGAATTCCGGTGTGAAATTTCCTGGGGGCGGGAACGGAAATGGTGGAGCAAAGTATGACCCGTTACGGGGCGGAGGTTGCGGGAAGAATGGAGGGAAGGGTGGCCTACCCGCGGTGCCGTTGAAACCGATGAACTGCGTTGGACCATCGTCTGTGAGCTGCACAGGAAAAGGCGGTGGAATCTTCGGGTTGGCCGGAATCTTTACTTGCCGTCGTGGCGCATTGAAGTCATCTATTGGTGGCCACACTGTGTCTGAATCGTCAGTTCTGTTAAATTTATGTTCAGGAAAGAATCCCCCTCTAAGAACTAGAAGATGGTTTTCTGCCAGCCATATTTCTTCAGGTTCCAACCCTCCTAGATTTTTGGCGGTGTCTCGAGGAACTTCTGGGTTAGAGGCGTAACTGATTATTCCCGGCCTTTTCGGTGTTGTAGCGTATATTTCCTTCTCTATCAGTCCGTACTTCCCCTCAGCAATCTGTTGAGACAGCGTCTTTTTGTCCTCGTCGCCGTCGTCGTCGTCACCTTGTTTGGATTTGTTGGTGTTCCTTCGCCCAGCACTCGCCATCAACATGCCATCCGGTTCTGAATCCTTCGGATCCCTTCTCCTGGCCGTATTAGGTGCCACATCACTTAAGGACGCGTTCTCTGCATGTACAGTGTCAGCTTTGTTGGAACTTAACCGCAGCCCAACACCCTGCTTCACCCGGCTGTGCTCTGGTAAGCGGGAGTGTTTACCATTGTCATATACGATCTGTTGCCTCGGTGTTGGCCGTCGGTTATTGTATGTCGCCGCTACCACGTGGAGCTCTTCGGATGTTGGCTTGTCGAGGTTATGATCTAGTGTAGACCCTGCAGCTGCCACAAGTGTCGCAAGTATTACCGGAAGGAACATCGAGTTCATCTGTTGAACAAACATAACATTTTGTCGTTACATTGCCATATAAACGGAGCAATTCGTAAGTCCCTCCGGAAACCCCGACAATAATTTAGAATTACTCTGTAGACCAAGGGTACTGTGATTCTAAATTATTGTCGGTCTTGCCGGAGGGATTTATGAACTGGAAACTTCGTGTTACATCCAGATGACCCATTATGAAAATATACTGAAGATTATGCTATAACAACATTTGTGCACGTTGTTGGATTTAAAATAGAGTGACTTGTGCCGTAAAAACCATATGTATGAACCTGTTTTATTAAAGAAATGTAAAATAGTGATGAGTTATATCTTTCGGGATATACCGCCGTATTTTCGGCTGAAAATCAAGCAGACTACACGGCGTCATATCCCAGAACATAGATTTCTTCATAGTCAACGCTGTGGAAACCTCAGATCCAACATAAAATACGAGGGAGAGCCAGTAAATGGGCAACAAATGGATATAAAACGTAAAACGTGTGATATTCAAACCTGAAAAAAAAAAACACATTTTTCGGCATATTCTGCGCCAACACTGATACATTTGTCCCATCGCTTTACCAGTGAGTCGAAACCCGCAGCATGGAAGTCCTGTGACTATTGTCTCAGCCACTTCCGCACCTCCATTTGAACCTCTTTGTCTTCAGCGAACCGTTTTACGCGGCAAACACTTCCCACCGGAAACGGGAAACATTTTATGAATATCCTTCTAATCGAGTTCTTTATCCCAGAAATAACGCACAACGGAACGCTGCTCTTCAGAAGTGCACTCTTCAAGCACGGTCGCCATTTTGACTACTGAAACCAGCCTCTGAACATGCGTTTGCACGTCTGCTATCAAGAATGTCATGAAGCTGGACTGTGCTGCTACCTAGTAAAACACAGAAAACCTCTTACTTCCATTACACCTGTTTTACTTCCATTTGTGATTTATTTACGGACTCTCCCTCGTTGAGACAATAATCATGAGCCGTAGTTTGCTCACCCCTGGTCTAAAGCAACAATAATAATTGGTGAAGGGTGCCACACCCGGTTCGGAATCGACAGGCACGAGAAAGGGCCTGAGTCCACAGAATCCATTCCCCAGAAAACAGAAACCGTTACTCACAAATCGGCAACTCTTGTATAAAAACCGTCCGCATCACCCAGTGTTGCTGCTGTTATTATGAGGCTTAACTTTCACCGTTGGCTGTCTCCACTGCGGCAAATAATACTGGCATCCATCCGAAAAGAAATGTAACATGTATCGCTCAAGTTTTAGACCTTGCGGGCAGTACGGCTCGGTAGAGACAGACTCTCCGATGTAGGAACCTTGACAGGGTTGAAAGGAATTTGAACTTACGATAGCATGAAACCTTTTACATTTGATGACGTAGCAGTAACCGACGTTTTAAAACTCGTCCATTCATATTTCCTGCCTTTAAAAGCAGTAACCACGCCTTATATATGTCTAGAATGGCTGCAGATAGTCGTAAGTAGGAAACGTGATAATTGTAACGGTTCTGGTGTGGCTGTTTGTTAGTTAACTCACGGGTCGTTAAGACCAAATTGTAGTAACATGCAATCGAACTGTTCTCAAGCTCATAATAACTTAACGGTTATTAAAAGTGCTATCTTGTGGGATGTGGCTCCGTGTAGTCCGATATAAGTTTATCGACGTTTCAGAGGAACGTACTGTTTCCATCTTTAGTACGTTTGTTTGAAACGTCGGTAAACTTTGCGAGACCACAAGGTGTCACATCAGGTTAAATGTCATCTTGTGCTTCTAGATCTCTGCCCTTGCAGAACTTTTCAAGTTCATATCATGAATATTTTGAAGTGTCCCTCACGCGCTCCGGTCTAGAAAAACGAGATTAACGGCCGTGGGGATCCGTTGCGTTGATCAGGCGACACTCTGTCCGCAAACAATTGACACTAACTTCGCCGACAAGCGGCGGTCGCTCGGTCAGTATAGTTCGCTTGCGGACCAGAACCACGGAGTAAGTCCCTCACCCGCTTTGTATTATGTTGATAATAGCAATAATTTACTGTTCAAATTTTAACGACTTGATAATAGCAATAATTTACTGTTCAAATTTTAACGACTTGATGACAGTTGTGATGATAATAATGATAAGAATAATGGTGGAATTGGTGTAATGATAACGCATCAGACTCAGCAGGGAGGTCCTGTGGTCGAATGTCAGTCGGGTGATCGGGTATCCTGACTAAGGTTTTCATGGTTTTCCACATTTCATCCAGGAAAATTCCGGGGTTATAGCTCGACTAGGCCACTCGCTTCCAACTCCTTTCCAATTCATTTCTGCCCTTGACGCTGTATAGTCTAGAAGCAGGTATTATCGTAAACTAACCCGCAAGAACAATAATATACAAATTCCGGTCGTTTGTCTGTTACAGTATCATCCAAATATACAGGAATGTTTTTATTTTTTTTTTCGCAGCATGCATGATCGAGTGCGCATGCAGAAATTAAGAAATCATATGGGCCCATATGAGATTTGGTTTAATATACAGGGTGTTTCAGGACTTTAGGGCATAACTGCAGGAGGTGATTTCCTAGGTCTTTCTGGTCAAAATAGTTCATATAAACATGTGTCCGATTTTGGACGGTTACCGAGTTATGACCGTTTTAAACTCAGAATAGAAGGTAACGATTACTGACAATAAACGAAACAAAATAATAAATCAGCATAATACATGATACATTTAAAGTATGAATGTAAAGTTAACTTCGTGAAATTACCTTTAATTTGAATTTATTGGTGCTTAAAGCTGATTTTCGAAAATGCCACACAGGCTGCCGCTCGGTTGTGAACCGCGCCGGACATACCAACCCACCACGCCTTAGGTACCTCTCAAGTGTCGAGATAACGAGAACGCTCTGTTTGTAGCTGGCTAAAAATAGCGAACCGCCAGATGATAGACGCGGTTAACACGAGGGCGTGTACGGGAATGAAAAAACGGTCATAACTCTAACCGTCCAAAATCGGACACATGTTTATATGAACTTTTTTGATCACAAAGACGTAGGAAATCGCCTCCTGCAGTTATGCCCTAAAGTCGTGAAACACCCTGTATAGTAATTTGTGTGAATTTAAGCGGGTATGTAATGTCGGTAACGAATGACTTCCCCTGCCCGCCTTTTATCGCACAGAATTCTTGTTGTTGGCGGACCTGCTTTGTCTTTGTCTTTGCTTTGATTGTTAAATTAAAACTTTCCCTTTCATGAAATGACTCCAGTATACTTATTTGTGCCGCCGACGTATATTATCTTTATTAATATCTACATACGTACTACACAGACATAACAGCAGCAGTATATATTAGAGATAATGGAATCTGCTGTTGCTCCAGGTTTGTGTTTCGCCAGTAAAAGTAAAAAAAAAAAAAAGTAAAGCTATCCCTGTAACAGGCCGTGGAGGCCCATAGGGTTGTGAGATGTTGAGGTTCCCATTTTTTCTAGATAATCGGTTCGTAGATGGTGGCAAGATTGTCAGCCCTACGCGCCGGCCTCCCTTTACTCCCAAGAATATTCCTTGTAATCATTTCTTTTAGAGGCTGAGTCGACCCCAAGCCCATAGTGCGGCTGGAAGGATTAGGTAAATTGGGGGAAAAAAAAATGCAATGACTTCATCGGGACTTGAACCCCGCGACCTTTCGGCTAGTAGCATAGTGCGTCAACCAACTACGCTANATCTTGTGATCATAAGAACAACGGCGATTATTTTAGTGTGTAGTATTAGCAAAATGGTCGTTGTAACGGAGACGTAGTGTGTTTTCTGTGACGTAGGAACTTAATTTGTGAATACTAATATTCTGAGAGGAATTTAATGTTTACTGTAAGATTCCTCACGGTAACATACGTTATGAATCACTATCGTTTCTCTCGGTTCAAAAGAAGGAAAAGGGTTTTCGTCGTCATAACGTCAACCAGCAACATTAAAGTAATACAGTTTAGGATTCAGGACCGCTTTAAGGCCGTGGAGTGCCGGGGGGCTAAGTACGATTGTGCCCCCTCCCCATATATTTTTTAAAGAAAGGAAATTCCTTGAAATTTGAGACCGATATTTACACTAACAAAAACGAAAAAGATACATAACAGATTTAAAAGTAAACATCTAAAAGCATTTTTTATTTAAAATTATCTTTTTAAAAACATTATTTAACATTAAAATTTTATGTTTTCACGGCGGTGACTATGAAGAATGCTGTCTTCTGGGATTGGCGCTGTGTAGATCTTGTGTGAACCGACGTTTCGGAGGAGGCGACAACTTTCCTTCGAAACGTCGGTTCACACAAGATCAGTATTAAACATTTCATACATTGAAGCCAAATGTATGAGTCCTAAACTTAGCAGTGACATACCGGATTATTTAAGGGTATGTCTACTGCTCGGGTAATTGAATCGAGCTTAAAAGATGAACTAGCTGTTACACACTTTTTGAAATTCTGTATATGAAAATAAACGAAGAAAATTTGAATACTGCAGATCGGAATGGAACATCTCTCGCTGTGTGTGTGTGTGTGGGGGGGGGGCATTGGCAACTGCCCCCTTTTGCTCGTTGGGTAAAGTGGGCCTGCTTTAGGCGCATTCTGTTTTTAAAATGTGTGTGGTTTATTCAGCGGAGCATGGCAGCAGAGGCAAACAAGTGCCTCCCGGTCGCGAACACCCCCCTCCCCCCCGCGTGAAACGCATTATGTCAGGTTTTCTATTGTTATGCTTTTGTATGAAGGGAAGTGGACACACTTGCATGTTAATATGAAGGACATAACAATTCCAGTTACGGTATTTTAACATTTTCTACGGTGCAGTTATTGTTGTGGCTCAGCAGGTTGTTCGACCGGGGAATCCGGGTTCTGTTCCCTAACAGGGACAGAGAGATTTCTCTTTTCCACAGCATCCTTACCGGCTGTGGATGAGTGTCATGGGCCCTTTCCCCGAGAGTAAACCAGCATCTCCAACGAGTGCCAAGTTAAGAATG